TTTTAACATTTTCTAATGGTGGTGTGCCTTGTGGTTTTTTTCATGAAAAAAGTGTGCCTTTGCACAAAAAAGGTTGAAAAACACTGTTCTAGACATTCAGTATGTTTCAAATAGTTCTTGCAACATTAAATTCTGTTGTGCTAGGACAGTCCCATGTAAAACCAGTGATAATAAACTAATCTAGAAATAACAAAGGTTGCTTTCAGTGCATTGTGTTTCAAGCAAAGATCCAAGTGATATAGCAGATAAAACTGTGCAAAAGTCCTACTTGTCAGTAGAATCGTAACCCTAATCCACTCAGATAAGACTAGGAGCAACATAACACTGTGCTTCCAACTCTCAGCCCTCATAGATGTTCTATGGTTGATGGTATCAAACATCTAGGAAAACAAGAACGGCCATATTCCTGCCATCTAAATCCCATCCCAGATCATACATGAGGAAACAATTTCTGAGGCAATCTAAATTGCCACAGATCCAGATACTTCCAGAGCCTTCTATAACCCTACCACTTTTTAATAATCCTTTCCCCACATCTATTCCGAAGTATAACATCACAAACACAATGGTTCCTCAATTAAGGATTGTTTTGAAAATATGAGCTATTTGGAGGGGAAAATGCTAGGACTTACAACTGCTGCCCTTCCTAAACTGTGTTTATGCAACATGTTTAACCAGGTTGGATTGGGCAGCTCTATTTACATGACAAGCTTTGTTAATTTAATCTTTGTTTATATTCTTGTTTCATGTTTTAGCATGTTGTATAAACCCAATTTGTTTGGTTTGGGTTTAAAGTTGTAGTAGTTTGTAGTTTATTCAATTTGTATGTCGCCCTACTCCCGAGGGACTAAAGTTCCTTACTGTGTGAATTCAATAAATGTAAGTTTATTTCAGTAACAAAGCTACCCTTTATAACAATACTTATTGAAAGAAAGCATAAGACAGGAAAATTTCCTATTACTTTGTTAAAGACCTCTCTTTGTACAATTAGATAATTGTATTTTAGTATTTTTAGTATTTTAGTCTCTTTTAAAAAAAAAAACAAAAAAAACACTCTTCTTCAAAATTCCAGTACTCCCTGACACCATCCTTTCCCTCAGGTTACTCCTTTCGGACTGGATAGTGTTTGGCTGGGTGTGGAATTACAAATACAATAAACAGAGACAGAATTTACAGATTTCAGAAGGATAACTTTACAGTTTAAAAAAACAATAACATAAAAGTAGCAAAACAAGTTCAACAAGGTTTGCAAATGATTACTTAGTTACCGAAATAGAAAGAGAATGCATCTGGTAAAGGCAAATTTTCCCTCAATGGCATTTTCTATAAATTCTTTTTCAAGCCAAATTCTTTTAGTTCATTTTCTTTGTGTTTCCTAATCATCAAACAACTCAAATCAAAGTTGAATTTTGGATGAATTTCTTCCTTTCAAGGATTACACAGGATGCTACAGATGTTTCCTTCCAATTGGCATTTTCCTTCTCTGCAAAACATGCTTCCCTCTGACCCAAGGGGGAAATTCAGCAAGTTTTGATAGGTTCTGGAGAACCGATAGTGGAAATTTTGAATAGTTTGGAAAACCTGAAAATACCACCTCTGGCTGGCCCCAGAGTGTGGTGGGAATGGAGATTTTTCAATATCCTTCCTCCAGGAGTGAGGTGGGAATGGAGATTTTGCAGTATCCTTCCCCTGCCACGCCTACCAAGCCATGCTCACAGAACCGGTAGTAAAAAAAATGGAATTTCACCACTGGCCTGACCTAAATTGTGTCAGAAAGATTCCTTCTTTCTAGCTCAGTTCTTATTATTTCTTCTTTTATTTTCCTTCTTGCCCAGTTCTAGGTTTTCAGTCAGTTCCTAACCAAATTATTTCATTCGCTCCTTAAAAGCACATTATCTATGCAGACAACTTCTTCTGAGAAAACTTTTCATTGGCTGATGAAAGTTATATACACTTTGTATATATAAAGGAGTTCCAAACATTTTGGTGATTAGGTTTGATGCATTGCAACAATCCTACTGTATGCTTACATCAAATATTGTAATCCAAATATTGCTTTAACAACGCTAAACAAGGCAATGATTACTGCAATTCAATTATCTTGATGGAACTATGGGGAAAGGCAAAATAATAGCAGAGGATAATGGAATTCCAGAAACACTTCATGTCCTTTTTTCCAATGTGAGCATCTAGGGAGCAAGGTTCATATATCCTATCTGTCATTTTTTTTTTTTTGAAAACTTTAATTCCATAATACAGAGCTTTTCATCCTTGACAACTTTGAGATGTGTGGATTTCGCCTCTCAGAATCTAAGTAGATGGGCAGTTTTCTAAATTCGATAAACAAATAAAAATTGAGAGTTGGAGTCCACCCATATATATAAAATTTGGAAACCGTCCAGCTCCATACTCTCTATTGCTGACGTTGAGAAACATTGCCACATTTCACTGTCATGATATATGGGGTTATTTCTCTCCAGTGATTGGAAATAAAGTGTTGGAAGGTGTTGGAGAAACTGGAATTTATATAGGTGAAGGGAAGGGTTTTTTTTAAATATTTCCTTTAAACTTCAGAAAATTATGTGTTTTAAAAACCATTTAAAGGAAAATGGGATGGCTTTCTTAAAATGAATATGTAATTTGCTAATGGTTGATCATTCTAATTATAGAAATCATTTTAATGCTTTATGACAAAAATCTAAGATGGAATGAAAGATAAGTAGGTAATGTATGTAGATGTTTCAAGAAACGTGACTAATGACTTAGAATGCTACTGTGCTCCAATTCTTCCATGTTTCAAATATGTGTAACCTAAAGGAATTGTCAGATATAATTCATCATCAAGGAGATTTCTTCCTCTGGCTCTGGGTTCCCTGATTTCTGGCTTTTCTTTTTCTTAATCCTCCCTTTTTGCTTGTTATCTGTTTAGTTTAGAAATTTATAAAGTCCTCCAATTATTAGTTTGAGGAAGTTTGAAAAATAGATGATTGACATACCAACCTTACTCTAAAACCAAACTACGCAAAATCCTAATCATAACAATATTTGAATAAAGATTTGTAAATTTTAGGAAATGTTGGAGATCAGAGAAACCAAATCTATTTTTACTTTTGGGTTTAAATCCTGAATTCCATAATTGGATGAAAATAATGGATTATAGAGGAATATATGAGCTGTATAAAATAATAAGTATCATGTATAATACTATTAGAGACCTTCATATTGATTGTTCACAATGTACCGCCTAATAGTTTATAAACCTAATAAAAATCATCAGAAAAAATTAAAATGAATATCAAAACAATTGTTTACTTTTGCTTATAAATAGATTAAGTATTTGTTGCTTTTAAAATATTATTCTACTTTTAAAAACAGCTGACTCTTGGAAGAGAAATTATGGAGACCTAAATAAACTTTTTTTCACCGATTTTGATTTTCTTCAAATTTATTAAAAAACTGAAATTCACCAGAGTACAATGAATTAAAAATACTGTTAAAAAAACTGCATCTGCAAGGATTTTTGTGACAACCTTTGCTCACTTTACATATTACTTGGAATAAGTATCATTAGCTCAAGGCTGTCTGTTTTTGAGTAAATGTACCTGGGATTGAAGATCCCATGTTGAAATACATAGTACATTTCCTAAACATTAGGTCTTTTAAACACCAAACTTCCTGTTTCCTGAATAACTGTGCTAGAATGACACTTTTAGGAATAGTAGCTCTACAATAAATCTGAGATATTTATAGCTGTTTTGAAAAAAAAAATTATCATGAAAAATGCTGATTGTTATATACTAAACAATATGAAAAAACGTTCTTGTTCTTATCAAATCTGATGATTCTTTAGATAGTAAGCAGAGGATGTGAAACAGCAGAAATGACCTTGAGAAGAAACGGCTTGGGACAGCTTGGATTCCATGTCAACTTTGAAGGGATCGTGGCAGATGTGGAACCGTTTGGTTTTGCGTGGAAAGCAGGCCTACGTCAAGGCAGTCGCCTCGTAGAGATCTGCAAAGTAGCTGTAGCAACACTCACTCATGAACAAATGATTGATCTATTGCGCACCTCTGTGACGGTCAAGGTGGTGATTATTCAGCCTCATGAGGATGGTTCACCTAGAAGGTAAGACATTAGCGGGTGGATCCTTGGGCTTCTGTATGAATTTGCCCTTTATATGCAGGCTTTCCTTGATGAGTTGATTATATTGGATACAGGTATCCAACCTTGTGACCTATGACCACAATTGAGCCCAAAATTTCTGTTATTAACTGAGATACTTGTTAAGTGTGTTTTGCCCCATTTTACGACCTTTCTTGCCACAGTTGTTAAATTAATCACTGCAGTTGATAACAGTTAGTAACTTGGTTGTTAAGTGAATTTGGCTTCCATATTGACTTGGCTTGTCAAAAGGGTTGCAGAAGATGATCATATGACTTTGGGACACAGCAGTGGTCATAAGTATGAACCATTCCCAAGCATCTGAATTCTGATAATATGATCCTGGGGATGCTACAAAGGTTGTAACTATGAAAAGTGGTTATAAGTCACTTTTTTCAGTGCCATTGTAACTTTGAACAGTCACTAAATGAACTATAAATAAAAAGAATAAAGAAATGAAAAATAGAAATAGAAAAAGTAATGGCTTACAATCTGCTTTATAGCAGTTATAAATGCATTCAAATTTTATCTTTTGTCTCCAAGGTTACATCAGAACTCCCTTTTTCCCATAATCTATCCTTTCTAATTGTCAACCCCAAAAATTACAAGTGCACTTTCCCCATTTTTAGTGAAAAGTCCATGAATGGTTTCCAAAAGAATTTGACTCAGTATGTAAAATTATTTAAAAATATAAGACTCATCCACCTGAACCATACAAAAGCCCGTGTTATTCAACACATATTTTCTCTTAGTTGTACATCAGTGGTGGGTTCCGGATACCGGTGCAACCGGTACGGTGCAACGAGGCCCAGTGCCCCCCCTATACACACACGTGCATGCATCCTTACCTCCGTGACGCTCCAGCTGCTCGTCGGAGTGTCACGCAGACACCGCATGCTCCGTGTGAGGAAGCGCCAAGGAGGGCGGGAGGATGGCCCCTCCGGAGCACTGTACCGGAACGGTACCCAGTGCTCCCGGCAGGCACCAGTATGCCCGTACCGGGGTGTACCCCCTGAAACCTACCACTGTTGTACACATAAGATGTCTTTGGGAATCTCACAAGCTTTATTGGTGTTTCTCAGACTAGAGTTCCATTATCATCTGACAACCTACCCCTGCTACCTGAGGGAGTTGCAGTGGCAGTCTTCATCCTGCGTTCTTCAGCGCATGATAATGGAGTGACTCTGGATAAGAATCTAAAGATTGGATGTAGCCATATAGACCCTAACTAAATATTTGTCCTTTGCCATTTAGTTAATAGTTATTACCATAACTTGTGGAAAAAGATTTCAGAGAATAGTCATGTACTGTTACTTGCTTTTGTCTGCTTGGAATCTCCTGTCATTGAATGACCCCAATTTTAATCCTATGTATGTGGATTCAAATCCTGCCTCTCCATACTCAGTGTAATTGAATTGACCCCTACCTTGTTTCCCTTGCTCTCTTTTCTGAAGTATAAAGCCACAAACATTTCTTGCACAGGAAAAGCATTCCAATTGTGAACATTTTTGTCATTCTCATTTGTTCAATTGTGAAAATAACACAGACACACACAGACACAAATAAAAAGCACATAAAACCAAATTAAAACCATAATATTTGAAAATACAGGAGTCAGATAAAATACCTGGCAACTGCAGTTTTAGCACCTTATGTTGTCAACACTTCCCCCCCCCCCACCGCCAAAAATTTTTTAGCAAGGAAGGACCATCCTAATTTTGCTCTATAGAACTGGGGCTACCACTAAGAAAGCCCTTTTTCAATTGTCAAGTCCCCTGACATTCTAAGTAGTAAAAATCAGAAGCATACATTTCAAATTGAATGTACAAGATAAGCAAATTACACTCAGAAAAGATAGTCCCAAAGATAACAAGGACCTGAGCCATAAAGAGATTTATAGATCTTCACCAGCAATTTTAGCTGTACTCGGAAGTCTGTTGAGAACCATTGCAGCACCTGCAAAACAGATGTTACTTAGCTAAAATGCTTCTTGCCTACTCCTAAATTTTGAATCAATTGCAGTTTTTGAATAATCATCAGAGACAGCCCCAAAGATAAGTATTTGTGCAAGAATAAATGTCACCAGGGCATCCTGCTCCAATTACACTTGTATCTGATGTAATAACTGAAGATAGCAAAGGTTTTCATGGCTAGAGCCTCTATCTACTAGCCAGGCAGAAACTATAAATCATTTCCCCATATTATGGATATATTCCTTCAAAGAGATTGTGATCCTGTCAAGAGCCATTGTTGAAACTAGATAAATGATACTGCCATCATTCTGGAAACTTGATCACCTGCAGAATAGGTCTCTTTGAAGAACTTCACTGCTTCTCTTCTGCAATCTTAGAATTACAGCTTCTGCAACACTTAGTCAAGAAGATTTCTGGCAAAACAATTCTTTTCCACCACCAAACTATAGTAATACATGCCAGATCTGCCCATTCATCTCTGTCAAAAAAAAGGATGGGTTGCAGATTGATTCAGACCAAGGCTCTCGATGATCTGGCATCCAGGACCTTCTGGGCTGGAAGTGGTATTCTATAAATTGACAATAATATTTGTAAATGACATCATGACGCAAATCCCAGTGTTAACCTATTTCAATTCTAGAATTGGATGCTAGTAAATAAGTTGCAGGGTTTTTTTTGTCAGATTTTTCAGGGGACTGTCATGGCCTTTCAAGAGAGGTGCCACGGGAATATTCAGCCCCTGAACAGTCAAAATTAATTTACCTTGTAATCAGTAAAGAGCTTCATAATATTCCCATCAGATTCTGTTCTTTTTTTCCTTTTCTTCTGGGTATGTTCATTGGATGCCCATCTTATCTTTTTTCTGTTGCTGGGAGAATGATCTGTTTGAAATCTGAGCGCAGTGAATAATGACTTTAGCCAATTAGTTTCCCCTTACAGTTAAGGATTTTATTTCTTTGAATTCAAGATCTGAAGAGTTCTGATACATGCACTGTTCAGTATAAATGATAAATATATTTTTCTTGGTATTGTTTTGTTTAAATATCAGAAGCCAATAGTTAGAGGTGAGGAGGAGGTAAAGGAGGGAGGTTACAAATGCTATTTGATTTTGCTTGTGCTCTTTATTTCTGGTTAAGAAGCCTGTAGTCTTATGCTCTCTTGTCTGGGAATAAGCCTAACTAGACTAAGTTGTACTTAGATCTGATTAGGGACATAGAGGATTGCATAAAGTAACTTATCAAACATTCAACAAAAATAGAATGTGGATTAAAAGAGGAGAGAGGAACTGCTCCTATTTTAATTACATAGTGAGTTTATAGTTTAATTATCTGTAAAGAGGTTCTAATTATGCATAGAATTACCTGGGAATAAGGTCACCTCAATGTGAGCATGGCGAAGATAAGAATTAGTGTGTGTCTCAAAAAAAAAATCTGTCTACCAATCATAATATAGACCAATATGATATATAGCTTATAATCTTCAATGAAGAGACCTTCATCCATCAGTGGATTGATTTAGGATGATAATAATAATAATAATAATAATAATAATAATAATAATAATAATAATAATAATAATAATAAT